AAAGAATGTTGAGCTCATGTATCTAATTTTACTTCCACCCAAAATAAGTCCTTCCTCTTCATCTAAGAAAAAAAAAAAAACTAAGTGATTAAAATGAAGAAAAATGGACAATTACTATCAATTACTGAACCTTTATTGATAAAGTATAACTAAGTGGGAGCTTCTTTTGCATGAGAATAGCATAAACAAGTATGAACTCTATAGAAAAGTCTGACTGTTTGATACCTACCATGCTCCCAATCCTTTCTATGATTTCTGGGTGTGTCTTGTCCTATTTTTAAATTTTATGCATAAAACTGAAGTTTATTCGTTTCTTTTGTCAACAGCTTTCTTAAATTTATCTCTATCTAATAATACATTACCAACTATACTGAAAGATTTGTTCCAAGGTACAATTTCTTAGCTTAAGGAGTTTACAAGAGAGGCTGGAAGATACTGAATCATACACACTACACTAGCATAATAAGGTAACATACCGGACATACCATAAAAAGTGAATACACACTCCTCTGGGAGTTCCGACAAGGAAATACTGATGTAGACTAAGGGACAGAGAAGGAAAAGTTTTATTTAGACAAGTGGTGGGATTTGAGCTGGGCTTTAAGGCACAGGCAGAATTCACATAAGCAGGGAGATAGGGAACATTCTAGATCACCACAACAAAAGATGTAAGTGTGGAAATAAGAGAATATGTAAGGCACATAGTTTAGAGGCAGACAATAAAAAAACAAAAACAAAAAACAAAAAAACCAAGTAGTGCAGGAGGAGGATTTGTATCTCATCTTTTTTTTTCTACCTCCAATATACCCATGAGATACGACATCCTCTGATCATTAACCACGGCAGTGGGCAGCAAAGATTTTCACATCTGAGAGTCATGATACTAAAATTGGTTTAGGAAGAAAAGCAAGAAGATGGGCAGGAAGAGCACTTATGATCTGACTTCAAAATTTCAGATGTTAGGTAATAAGGGTGGCAATAATGAGAAAGAAAACACTGATAGAAATAGGAGAGTCTAAAATTGAAGCCAATTTTTTTTTTCAACAAAATGAGACTCATTTCAGACACACTGACTTCAAAATGATAAACACCAAAATGTCTAACTGGAGATGTGAAGCTGGAGAGCAGAGAGCTTGATAAATATTTGGGAGTCACCAGCATATGGATGATAGGCGGCATGGAAAAGGAAGGAAACAAGGGGAGAGCATATGTATCAGTCAATCTCTGCAAAGGCAACAGAAAGCAAAAGGTCAGTGAGGCAGGAGAATATCTCGGACAGCACAATTCAAGAAAGCAGGAACCAATGCAGGAAAGGCCAATAGATTGGGTCATATGATTATTCTCAGTTCTGGGAAGAAAAATTAAAGCACACTGGTACAGGTAAACAGCATACTAAACAGGATTACTGAAAGGCTAGAAAGAGGGGGAAAATGGCCACACAAAGAAAAGGAAGGAAGGAAGGAAGGAAGGAAGGAAGGAAGGAAGGAAGGAAGGAAGGAAGGAAGGAAGGAAAGAAGGAAGGAAGGGAAGGAAAGGAAAGGAATGAAACCAGGTTGGTACCTAAAGTGGCAGCAATAGCGGAAAAAAACAAAAAAACAAAAACAAGGTATTTTCAAATTGGTGAGTCCTGTGTGCAGATAGCCCTAAATAAAGATAGGAGTCAGAGGAGGAAGAGCTTGACAATAAAGGAGGGATAGATAATAAGGAGATGACAGTAGGGTATAGAATACTACTACTAATCAGAACATTTACTGAAATTTTACCTGGTACCAATCACTCTGTGAGGCCCCGTAACTGCATCATTTCATTTTATTCCTACAGCAACTTTAAGTGTTTGGTATTTTTATTATCCCATGTTACAGAATAGAAAACTAATATGTAGTGATTAAATTACTTACTTACAAACCTACGAAGAGCCAGAATCAAAAACTGAATTCAAGTTTGTCTGATACCAGGTTATTCCTACAAACTTCTATGCAACACTGAAGAAAGCACACATGACAGGGCATTCCTAATTTGTTTACTTAGAAGAAAAAATTTTAATAAAATTGTATGTAGGCAGTTTAAGGTAGGAAAGAATGTGGGTCTGCTTTCTCCCCTTAACAAACAAACAAAAGCCCAAACCATATACATTTAAGATAGAATGGACTTTTATAACTTTTTCCCATTGGGTTACTTTGGGTCTAATTTCTCCCTAGAACTTGATAAAAACTAGAAAGACTGCTGGTTTATCATATGTGTTAACAGTGATCATTTCAGGAAATAAAATTTGAAGTTAATTGCTGCTTTGGTTTTCAAGAAAAAAATCTTGAGCTGAAAGTTTTCAAGATGGTAGTTCATAGGACTATAGACAGGAAACAAAAATTTATAAATTAATTACATAGCAGATTTTATAATTTACCTGTATTAGGAAGACTACAGAGCTGCAAAACAAAAAAGAACTAGTCTTTTGGCACTTTGGTCACATGTAAATTTGGTTTCTGTGCTTGAGATATGAGCTCATATAATTACTATCTATGACTTTATAAATATGGAGAAAAGCAATCAAGTTTGGATTGGGCAGACATTCACTGATAGGTCAAAATTCCCTTACTTTCCTCCTGATATCTTCATTTTGACATTTCTCATTAGTGCCTACATTAGAAAGTGGGATCAGAAAGCAGGGAAGTTCAGGGGCACCTGGGGGGCTCAGTTGGTTAAGTGTCCGACTAAGGCTCAGGTCACGATCTCACAGTCCACGAGGCTCTGTGCTGACAGCTCAGAGCCTGGAGCCTGCTTCAGATTCTGTGTCTCCCTCTCTCTCTGCCCCTCCCCCACTCATGCTCTGTTTCTCTCTCTCTAAAATAAATAAACATTAAAAATTTTTTAAAAAAAGAAAGCAGTGAAGTTCTTTAATTTTGCTATTAATTAATAACTCTAGTTAATTGCCTTTTGCCAGAGAAATTAGAAAATAAAGCACTAGGACTTGGGATTACTTACAGATTTTAATTATCCATCTTATTCCTTAGTCTGTGCTTCATTAATGTATAAATCAGAGTTAACCAACAGACAATGAAATCTACTAATTATCAGTTCTTGTAAGCTGTCTTGTGCTTCAGAAAATTGAAAATAATCACTAAAATGAAAAGTTTTAATTACATGTAGATGTCATTTATCCATGTCATTCTTAATTTAGTGTTTCATTACCATGTATGTACCATACATACAGATACCTGTTTAGGGGTGGAATGAATAATAAATCTAACATAAAGCTTTAATCCAATGTTCTTTTTTCAATGAAATTATGTTCAAACATTACAACTTCATCTGACTAAGCATGCTCCAAGATGCCTTTTATTTACAGCACCTGATCAGAAAAATTAAATAATTTAGACTCCTGCCAATAAGACATTTTGGATTTAGCAAAGCTTACGATTTAACATATACCTTACCATAATTTCTAAGTGAAAAAGAACAAAGAAATCATGAAGAAATTTTGACTGATAACAAAACCTCTCAAGTGGTAAGAAATCAAATATTCAAGGATAGCCCACTTAGCCTAAAAGGAACAATATAAATTCTAGTGTTGTTCCAAACCAGCCTTTTAAAAACTCACCTCTTTAAAAGACGCAGTAGGGAAAAACCAACAAGTAGATGTACACTAATAACAAGATATTGCCTACTGCAAAAACCTTTGTACTTTGAAATACCATCTGGCTAAATTTAGAAGCTGTCCAGTATTATATCAGTAACTATATCTATCTCTTCAGATTGAGGAAACATAGATTATTTTATCTTCTATTCTTAAGTTATTTTCAGCAAGAACTGCTTAAAGTCTGTGACTCTTTTGCATTTCCTAAGAAGCTCAAAAACTGCACAAAAATAACATAATTGAAGTAACCACCCCTCATTTCAGTACCACAAAGGGAAATATATTAGTAATGATCTCTTGACTTTTCCATCACCTTTAGGAAAATTTCCATATATATAGTAAACGTAGTAATCTAATAAAATAACAAACTTGTAACAAGAAGTCTCTTTGGCTTCTTCCTCAATATCTCAGTAAAACATTCTTCCCACCCAGGCATAGTCCATCTGATAGACAATCTCTGGTGTATGTCCTACATCAAAACAAAACAATGGATCTACTAATTTAGAGCTTTCATCCATTGTAAACTATCAGCACAAGCAGAGAAATCCAACATATAAGTAACATGTTTTAAAAGGCCCATCCATGAGCTCTCTTACTGGCAACTGATAACAGTGCTTCTATGTCCAACCTCCTGTATGTCCTGGTATAGCATTCAAGAAACAGTGGTCACATGCATTGTTTACTGCTCTAAATGCAACACTGCCAAATTTTCTATATTTTTAATGTTTGAAATACCCCTTTTTGTACCATTTCTTAATCAAAAATTGAGGTTTTATTTTCTTTTCTATTTGTAAAATGAAGCTACTTAACACAGCACTTAGTGAAAATGAATTAAATCTCTTTATGCTAAAGTTTAAGATACCCTGGCTAATTAACTTACAAAATGCTATTTTAAATTGTTTCAGTTCCCATCCTACCAGTATTATGAGAAACAGCCCTTTAAAAATACTAGGTCTCCTAGCTAACAAAATTTCACATTCATAAAAACCAATTTGCGTTTTGATGATGATGGTGGTGATAATGACAATCTCACTCATTTAATTTTATTGGTGTAATAATATTTACATCGTAAGTCATTCAAACTTACCTTTAATAATATAATATGTAGGCAAATATTATCTTAAAAATACTTTCAATACTAGAAATTTATGCTGAAAAATACTGCTTTCTCATCGCAGTGTAATCTTTATAGGCCAGAATTCAGAGAAAAAGAATCATTTTGCAAAAGGCAAATATTTATATTACATAAATAACAGGTTTTCCCTAGACCTACTCATCAATACCACAACCATCACATAGTAAATGACCCTATACATTTAAAATGAATCCTAAATCAGAAATAGAATACTCAATTTTACAGATCATTTACCTGAACCTCGCTTGTCCTCTGTTTAATAGTATCTTCTTTCTCCTTAAGGTCCTGCTCCACATTATTCTTTTCCCTAGAAGACCAGCAAACAATGCAAGAATATTTGAGAACATCAGCTACAGCCGGTATGGTTATCCATCCTCCTAATCCTGAATCGCTTTTTAAATACATAGTGAAACATTCAATTTTTAAGCGAAGGGCAGATTTTTCCACCCTCTTTTAATTATTTATGGAATAGAAATCAATATGAGCTCTGTTTGTAAAAAAAAAAAAAATGCTTTCTCACTAAAATGTGGTGAAAAGAGAATAGATTAAAAAAGGAAGAGGAGAAAAATAATCAATGAAACACTCAGGTTTCACTGATCTCACTGTTGCTATGGAAATAATGTCCAATGAAAACCGCTGGTGAAAAAAAGGAGGGGTTGCATCAGCTCTGTAAGCTTAACCCTTAAGTACCACCGTCAAATCAAATGAAAATGGCTAATAGAAATAGCCAACAATATTAAGGAAAAGGACATTTATTGAAGTGTTAATTTCCCCTTAAATCACTGGTGTGTACCAATTTTAGAATGAAACAACATAGAGAAAATGGAAAAGACTGTCAATACACAGGCCATTTGCTCTATGAAATACTGCTCTGCTTAAAAAAGCTATTTTAGGACCACTAATCAATTCCAACTGATCAAATACATAAAACAACGTATACGAAGTAAAAAAAAGAGTCATATGAGCATTTATCTCTTTCTATATTCTTCAGATCAAACATACCAGGATCCACTTCTACTTTGAAATACCATTATCTAAATTCTCATATGCTTCCATCAGAGCTAGATTTCTAATGAATCAGTCTTAAACAACCTTAGATTCAGAATTACTATAAAGCTATTTCTTTTGATGTAATAAGTTTAACTGCCTGTTGGTACTGAAATCACACACACACAAGGACTTGCTCCCTTCATTTTTTCTTTTCTTTTCTACAAAGTGAGAGAGAAATCCATAGAATTCTGAAGCAATACATTTTTGGGGTGGGTGCAAAGGTAAAAGAAGGCCACATGAAGAAGGGAGGAGGCATTCACTAAGTCCTCCAGACTAGTACTACAGAGTTTCTCCTTAGAGCTTCAGGACTGTATTTCAGTTTCATCCCAGACATCACCCAAATGTAAGCTCAGGCTCCATTAAGCTGTAGCATAAAGAAGAGTGGGAAAATTATACCAGAGGGGATACCTAAGGGTCAATATTAATGCTACATTTATATTTCTGACCTATTTGAGGTGATTATTTTAAACGCAGAAAAAATCAACTCTTTTGGAAATACAGGCACAATGTTCCTAAGATTTGTGAGGGAGAAAAAAAAGCACAAGAATAAAAGCTGTTTGTATACTGTTACTTTCAAACACTTGAGATGGCTCACTAACCGCTTGTCAGATGGTTCACAATGTGGGTCACGATGTTGTGGAGATTTTAAACAGTCCCTTACCATGCAAATCATTGTGGCAGCCTGTTCCTCCCATACCTCAATCTACTTATTATGCAAAGGTCATCCCCCACTTCTAACCCTTATAAATTTAGGTAACATTAAAAAATAGAAATCACAGGAAGAAAAAATCTATGTATACCACACATATTCTGCAAGCTCAATCTTGGAAATTTTTTCTTTCCTCCTTATGTGAACAGAAGAATGTTTTCATTCCTGCTGCAGCATGTCAGAGGTAAGTCACATGAAAAACTAGCCCCCTCCCCCAATCCCAAATTCTCAGAGGCATTCCACACAAGGTCAGTATCAATTCTGCCCCTGTTTCTGACAGTAGCTAGTAACAAAAATAGAAAACATCACACAGTATCATAAACCAGCAATATAGCCACGAACGTGTGTCTGTATTCAATCCATTCTGCTTCTCTGTTAACTCCTATTACTGACAGTGTCTGCTCAGAGATCAAGTGTGCAGGCAGGAAAACAGGGCTGCAAGAAAGCAGTGAGCTGACAAAATGTAGCCAAGACAGAAGAAAAAGAGCAAAAAACAAAAAAAAGAAGCTCACTTGGTGCAAAATGGAAAACAGATTAGAAAGGACTGTCAGCTCTAACCAGCAAATATAGTCTATGTTTGGGTAAAATGGAAGAAGTTTAGAAGGTACAAATTTTTCTTCATAATTTTGGGTGTGGGAATGAGGATAGCAGTGGTGATATCTCCAAACATATCATGAAGAGCATTTCAAACCATATAATAAATATGGAATCTTAAGGCATTAATTCTCATAGTACTGAGATCAGTAAAATTTTTTAATCCACTTTTATCTAGTAAAATTCTGGCCTCATGGTAACTTCTTTATTATCAAAATCAAGTAGTATAACATACATTACTAAACAGAAAATTAAAAAAAAATAAAATCAGTTATACTACCTTCTATAAAACCATCACAATTGAAAATCTATAAATTAGACTAAAGATCAAATAATTTTCTCATTAACTTAGATTATAATTTCAGGGATGCCAAATTGCTATTCTGTGGTATTCCACAGACTCAACTTCTATAGCTATCCTTCCCATTTCAGGCAAGTAAAAATACCTAAATATATTCAGGTGCACAAAGGTGCTTAAGTACTTGGTCATATATTTTACATTCCCCTTTCTTTCAAATAACATCACCTGTTTTTCTACAGGTGATGAATCCACAACTATACAAAGCATTCTGTTTAACAGTAGTAATTCAATAACCTAATTCTTTTCAAGATTCAGTGCCACAATAAAAAAATATTTATATGCAGTTTCCTAAGGAGTCCACCAATATATGGGGATAAGACAGATGTAAGATATATTTCAAAAATAGGTGTGTGAGCATTTTTCCCAAAGCACTACTCATCTTGGATGACAGGAAAAGCTATAGCCTTCAGCTTAGTAACTTCCAGAAGGGAAAAGAAGTGATTCTACATACCTTCTATCTTAGACCATCTCTTTGACCCAATTCACTCCCAAGATCCTGGCACATCCTAAAGAATCCACAAATACCAAAACCATTATCTCCCTGGTTTCTAAAAGCTGCCGGTTCTGATTTGATGGAAACTAGTATGTGAACCAGCAAGAAAAACAAAGCCCAAGATAAGCTTTCAGAAGGCTGGGTAACTGTATAAACCTACATAAAGTAGTCAAAACCTATTCCCAAGAACAAGTAAGTTCGGGGAACCTGAGTCCATGCAATTCACTTTCATTTTCCCAGGCTCTGTTTAATGGCAAGAAGGGAGTGAGCCATCTGTCTTAATTTTGATATAATACCAATACTGTCAGAGAAACAGGATTAAGTCACCTTCAAAGCCCTTCCCAGAAACGTTTTAAGTCTTTTTTCTGAACATAAATACCCATTCTCTTCCAACCAGAGAGCAATAAAGAACAGAAACTAGTTGGAAGCCAAAAATCAGTTAGTTAGAACTCATGAAGGTAACTTTTTCAATCCTGAAACTTACTTATAAAAATCTTTTTGTGGGGCGCCTGGGTGGCTCAGTTGGTTGAGCGTCTGACTCTTGATTTCAGCTCAGATCATGATCCCAGGGTCGTGGGACTGAACTGTGTGTCAGGCTTGGTGTTGAATGTGGAACCTGCTCAGTATTCTTTCCAACTCTCTCTCTGCCCCTCTCCCTGACTTGCACAATAGAATAATGAAATGAAATGAAATGAAATGAAATGAAATGAAATGAAATAAAATAAAATAAAATAAAATAAAATAAAATAAAATAAGAAAATAAAATAAAATATTTTGGGGCACATTTTGGGCTCTTATTATTAAGTAGCTTAACTGCCAATAAATCTATCAAGAAAACACAGAAAAGCAAGCTATTCTCATTACTCTTGTTACTATTCTCATTACTACACTATTATTCAGTAAGGCATTTAAGGTCTTATGGAGGACAAGAAAATAGGACTAAAAACCAGAGACTAAGATTCTTTTTTTTTTTTTTAATTTTTTTTTTAACGTTTTTATTTATTTTTGAGACAGAGAGAGACAGAGCATGAACGGGGGAGGGGCAGAGAGAGAGGGAGACACAGAATCGGAAGCAGGCTCCAGGCTCTGAGCCATCAGCCCAGAGCCCGACGCGGGGCTCGAACTCACGGACCGTGAGATCGTGACCTGAGCCGAAGTCGGACGCTTAACCGACTGAGCCACCCAGGTGCCTCCAGAGACTAAGATTCTAACCTGGCTCTGCAATGAAACTGCTTTTGTTTTTTGTTTTTGTTTTTCTTTTTGTTTTTGTTTTTTTGACTCTGATTATCACACAACCTTTCAGAGCCTCAGCCTTAATTTTCATTATGCAGATGCTAATATCTCTACTATCTTAAGATTTGCAAGGTAAATTGTACAAGATATCATGTAATTAGGAAAAAAGTAGGCTTTGAGCCTATGCTGTGCTCACTTTTTACTGGTAACATTAACATTACTTAGAATTTTAAATAACATTGGCGGAGTAATTTTTAAATTTCTTAAAAGGAATTATGGGTTGCAAAAGATTTTAGAAAACACTGATCTAATGTATAGGATATGTAATGTAATCACAGAAATTTCTGCCCCCTAAATCTTGCCTAATATTCAAATAACTATCTCTACTTTTAGAAACTCATTATATGGTTTTCAAAGCAAAAGATTTGGCATTAAATAGTCCAGAATTCAAATACTGGCTCTATCACACGGCAGCATACTTAAATCACTGTAGAACAACTATTTGTTCTGGCTGACCTTCCCTTCTCCTAGGACCCAGCAATCTTTCTTTTAGGAGACTGTTCCTCTCTTTCTCCCTCAACTATCACCTTTCTGCCCATACAGTTCAAGTAGACAAGGCCACCTCTTTACAGATTCAACCTCTCTGAGCAATGATTGGCCAGGGATTGGCTCCTGACCAAAGCTTAACCAGTCACAGTACACCAGCTCACCATCACAGGGATTATTCAAGAACAGGCCCATGACCAAAGACAAGGCAGTCAGGATCTTTATTTAGGATGCCTTCATTTGGAACTAATAGAAAACTATGGTAGGGGTGCCAGGGTGGCTCAGTTGGTTAAGTGCTGGACTCCTGATTTCAGCTCAGGT